CAATGTCATTCACAATTTACCCTCCCGCAAATCTCCTGGCCACGACCTAATCTAACAACGGATCTTAAAGCTGCTTCCTCGGAAAGCCATTTTGTTCCTTACCTACATATATAATGCTGTACTCCGATCCGCATATTTTCCTGACCCCTGGAATCTATCTATTGTTAAAATGTTACACAAACCCAAAAAACTGCCCGAACACCCATCCTCTTACTGACCTATCTCTCATTAAGGGCAAAATCTTGGAAAAACTCATCCTAAAACGCCTGCACCCCATCCTAGATTCTAATCACATAATCCCTGATCACCAAGTTGGATTCCGCACTTCCCATTCTATTATCCAGCAATGCCATCCTGTGGTAGACTTAGTCTCCCCTGCATTGGAGCGTAGAATGTACTGCACGGGAGTCTTTCTCGATGTTGAGCAGGCGTTTGATAGAGTCTGGCACCCGGGACTGCTGTATAAACACCGTAAATTCCTTCCACCTACATATATCCTCATTATTCGTTCAGTGTGACCCTTGCTTTTTGATGGTATGATCGGTATTTTTCTGTTCTCCAGAGATATAACTTTGCTATTACAAGTTGTATTGTTTATAGTGCTTATTAAATTTATTAAAGATTATCTGTGCTCCAATTATTGACTTTTTCGGTGATGATATAATAGACAAAAAGGTAAGCAATAACTTAAGAGTATATTGAAACAGTTGAGCTTGAGATAAGGACGGAGATTAACCCCCACTAGATCTCTCACTCTCCATCACTTCTCTCGTATCTAAAACTTTTTAAGTCAGTAGCACAGTAACTTAAGGATGACGCTGTGCCCGAAATTCTATAACACGATCGGCAGAGAAGATAAGGCTACATATTCTGCCATACGTGAGTAAAGCCCCTCAGTAAGAATCAAGCCATTATGGCCGCTAAGTAGTCAGAAGGGAGCAATACCTCTATATGAGCCGAGGTAAAGAAGATAGCCGAAGATATCAAAGGGGTCAAGATATCGCTTGGAAAGCAGTGTGACCTAGCATTCGAAAACAATGAAAGAGTGAGAAAAATAGAAGAGTTAGCACTCAAACAAGAAAAAATCAATGAAAATTTAATGAGTGAGAATAAAACTATTAAATCACAAATAATTGTCCTCGAGTCTCGGCTTAACCAAGCAGAAGAAGTCCAGCAGGCAAACAACTAGGAGATTAGAGGTATCACGGCTAATCCGGGTGAAACGACACAGGGCCTAGATTGCTCGATAGGGGCTGCTCTAGGTATAAAATTAAACGTTGATGACCTAAATTTCGTGGAGAGAAAAAGGAGCAGAAGAGAAGACCCTCAGCCACCGCCCATCGTCGTGCGGTTCGTCTGCCAGACGGTACGCGATGAGATCATACGCCTGCGCAAAGTAAAGAGAGATTTCTCATTAAGAGGCATTTAGGACGGGACACCAACGAAAGGATATACATAGGCGAATAAATGAGCCCTGGCAACAAATACTAATACTAGTTGGCGAGGCAAAGCAAAAAGGCGGCAGCGAAGATGAAGTATCTCTGGTTTGCCGGAGAAAAAATGCAATATAGAAGAGAGAACGGCTCCCCTGTCAATGTCATTTGTAAAAAAGAAGACATTGAAGCCATAGAATGGAGAATGTGCCAACATTCCCCCCAATCCTTATGTTTTGAAAGTCTTATATTTTTATTTTTTAACTTTGTTTCCTCAAGCAGCTGTTCATTTCACATTTTTACTATTATTTTCAAACTTAAAAAGACTTTTATTTTATTTTAAATTAAACATTATTTTTTACTATGGTCATTCTTGCTTACGTTTTTTGATTAAAATTTACGTATATTATTCTACTCTTTTATTATATGCATTGTACAATATACTGTTTAAAAATGTACCCTCTCCTCTAATCTTAACTTCGTTCGATTCCACCCTACTGCTTATCCTTTATTTAGTTCCTTAATGACTAATACCTTAATCTCCTGCCACGTTAATTCCCAATCCCTTCCTGCACATTATGGCGAATTCCTAAATTATTTTCACCACAATTTCTACCATATTATTGCCGTATCCGAAACTTGGCTCAAACCTGACATCCCCTAACCATCTGTTTCTTTACCCGACTATACCCTGTTTCGTCATGATCCGGCGGATCGACCCGAAGGAGGCGTCGGTCTGTTCGTTCATGATAGCTTTAGGGCCAAAATCCTTTTAAAATCACATTCTTCTATCCCACACATTGAATATCTATTTTTCCAAGTTTCCTCTAGAACCTTTTCTCTACTCTACATCGTTATTTACCTCCCTCCGCGTGTCCGATTTGATCCCACATTTGAATCCTCCGTCTTTGTACACATCCATCATACCCATTGTACACATCCATTATATCAAGTATCAGTTCACTGATACCTGGCTAGACTTCATTGATCCTTGATTCCTCTCAAAATCTATTGTCCTCCACGCAAAACTCTGTTTCCTTCCTCTCATTCCATGATCTTATCAAAATCTCATACAATGTTATTATTCCTACCATTGTCCCAAACAAATTTCCTGGAGAGATCTCGACTCCCTAACCATTGAAAACATCAGATCTTATCTCGATTCCTTATATCGTTTCCTTATAACCCATCTATTCCCTTTCTTCCATCGATGACATGGTGGAACACCTTTCCTCTAACCTTCTTGATCTCCTTAACCATCACACTTCCCTTAAAACCCGTACTTTTAAACGTCCTCCTGCTCCTTGTATGAATTCAGAAATCAGAGAAATGATGAGAGGAAGAGAGGCTGCCAGAAAAATCTCTTGGAATAACCACATTTCCCAGATTACCCGTAAATCCATAACTATCCTTAAACAAATCCTTCGATTCCTTGCTTCCCTTCCAAAAAAAAAAAGAAAAAAAAAAAGCAGACAGCTCCTTGTAACATTCCTTGTTTTCTCCTACTTCATCTACGGTTGCCTGGTGTACGGAGGGCTGTCCACAAAACTGGAGACGAGACTGAAAAAAAATTATGTATTGCTTCATAAGATTCATATGTGGGATTCCCAAGCGTTCTCATATTTCTTGTTGGTACATCAAGTTTAAGTGGTTATATCCTACTTCCCGACGGCAATTCCTTCTTGGTGTTTTTCTTTTTCAAGTTCTCAGAAGCAAAAATCCTCCTTACATCTTAGAACTCCTTACTTTACCTTCCTCTATCCACTCTCTCAACACCAGATCTCGACCTATAGATTTATATATCCCCTCCCATAAAACCACTTCCTTCAGTAAATCCTTCGTCTTTCGTGCTACCTCCTTATGGAACTTCTTACCCACCTCCATACGTCAAACCACGTCCATAAACTCCTTCAGACAACTCCTATTCCACCATCTGCTAAAAGTTCAAACTTCCGCAAGCTTGTAAAAATTTCTGGGTTATATAATTACGTTGGTCACCAGCAGTTAATTGATAGAAGTCATTTTACTTTTATTTATTAATTATTTTATATCTCAGTATTTTATTGTATATATCTGTGTTTATCATTAATATGTTTTGTAGATATTTATATTTTACTTTTTTTTTTCTTTTTATATATTTGTATTTTCCTTAGTACCTTTGTGTGTATGTACATACGTACTTACAATTTCCTACGTATTTTTGTATATATTTGTATGACATGTCAGACTAATGTAGATATTTTTTAAACTCTACTATTATTCTAAGGGGACTTCAGTCCAAGAATAAAATTATTTTTTAATTTAATTTCATTTCATATCATTTTACCTTACTAATAGATACTTCAAAGTAAATCACAACTACGGCTATTCATCCCTCTTTTCCCAGTCCGTTAGAGTTCCTCAAGGTAGTATTCTAGGTCCTATTCTTTACACAATCTATACAGCTGACATCCAAACACCGTTCTTACAACCTATGCCGATGACACATGTGTCCTACCAGTGCATAAGGACCCTACAATTACAACCCAATCCCTTCAATCCCACATCACTAACCTTTAAGGATGGTGTCAAAACTGGAGAATTAAAATAAATTTCAATAAATCCCACCAAATTACATTTACCCTTCGTCGTAAGCCTGTGAATTCCTGCCCTACAGCATCCTTTAATAATACCCCATTTATCCCTGTTAAACAAAGCCGATACCTAGAACTCCACCTAGATAAACCTCTAACTTGGAACCATCACATCAGGCTGAAACGACAAGAAACCAATCGACGTTTTCGACTACTTCAGCACTTACTTGACAAATGGTCTAACCTTTCAATTAATTACAAAAGACTCATATACATGACCATAATAAGACCTATTTGGACTTACGGAGTTGAGCTTTGGGGCTCCACTAAACCATCGAATTCCTCTCGTATCCAATCTTTACAATCCAAAATCCTTCGTAAAATCCTTAATGCTCCTTACTTTGTAACAAATAAAATAATCCATAATGAGCTAAATGTTCCATATGTTTCCGATGTTTCAGCCCGAAAGCTTTTTCTTTCATAAAAATAACGATAATTACTTTGGAAAAAACAAAGAAACTATCTATATGAAATGGCGTTTAAGTGCTCCCTAAAGCCCTTTTAAATGTAATTACACGAACAATAATACTTTAAGAGATAATTTTTTAATATTTTTTTCGATAAAACATGGTTATATTTTACCATTTGGATTTTTTTTGGGAGGGGGAGGGTGTTATATTTTACCATTCAGCCTGAAAGCCCCTCTCACCCATAGATCCGCCGTGCTTCATTGCACATCATTCGGAAAGTCATTAGTGCCTATTAATGACTGTGTAGGATCCCTTCTAATCTATTATCAGATACCTACAAATAGTACCTGTTGCTTGTTAATAATTTAGAAATTATATTTTTTATTAAATTAACATGAATTATTAACATGCTTATATTTAAACAAAAATGTGTAGGATATTCAGAAATATGTATTTTTAAAAATTATTTTGGGAGTTTTGTATAATATCAAACTGACAGTGAAGTACACGTTTATCAGATGATCTGTAAAGTGCAATAAAGTTACCGTTGGTTGTAAGTGGACGGTTATAACCTGAGTATTGTTTTCGATTTGGTGATTTGTTTCGAATTTTTAAACTTTTTGCATGCTCAGTTAAAAATGGCTAGTCCAAGAACTAAAAGAGTTCTTCAAGATTTGATGACAAAAAATGACAATATGGTAATTCATTTATTCATATTTTTTCTCCTGATTAATTATTTAATTTCAAGTTTCAATAAAAAATTTCAATATATTTTTTAATAAAAATTTGGAATGTACTATCTCCTGTTCAATGTCCAGAAATGTTTTGAATGTGGAACCCATAACCCCCAATGGGCTTCTGTCACCTATGGAATTTGGATTTGCTTAGAGTGCTCAGGAAAACATAGAGGTCTTGGAGTGCATATTTCATTTGTCAGATCTATAACAATGGATAAATGGAAAGACATAGAGCTTGAAAAAATGAAGGTGACACAATATTTCTTATCAATTATGTTATATTCCTATCAATTACTGAAATTCATTTGTTACAGGTGGGTGGTAACAGGAAAGCTAGAGAGTTTTTTGATTCACAAGATGATTGGGATGAAACTCTTCCCTTAAACCGCAGATACAATAGTAGAGCTGCTGCATTATATCGTGATAAAGTCAGTTCATGTTTTGTATCTTCTGATAATGTGATTTATTATAATATTTACCAATTAATAATAGTATTTACTGATATATAATAAATATCTTAATCTATTCATTTATATTATCTGATCAGTTTCATTGTTTATGTTAGATTTCAGCTTTAGCTCAGGGAAAGGAATGGTCAATTGCAAGTGCTAATATTCAAAACTTTAATAATTCATACAAATCTCAAAAGTGAGTTTTAATTTGCTTAACCTACATCATTAAATAATGCTTTTCTCCTAATTACTCTTACTTAGTTGTTTACCTGATTATTCATGTTATCATTGTTTCTAACATTAGGATTGAGTAATACTTTTAAGTCATGTTTAAATAATTTTTGGTTTACAATAAAGCGAATGATTACTCATTGCAAAGAAGGGTTTCAGATTTTAGGATTAGTTAATTATGCTAAAACTTTTTAGACAATGTAGTTGTTTTCAGATGTATTACATTTTGTTTTTAAGTTGACAAAGCTATAATTTTTTTTAACTTTTGGATTAGGTGTTGCTTAATGCTGTAGAAGGAAATTCTTCTTAGTACCCATAATAAACTTAATTGTGATTAAAATTGGTAGTAATAATTCAACTTTACTAAACATTTCCAGTTCTTATTATGAAGACACAACTAAAAATAATAAATTCTTACAATGTGGAGCTATTTATGTGAGAAATTAATTTTTACTTTCATTTACCTATATACATTATGTATAGTAAGGGAAAATATTGCAATTATGAAAATTTTTTAATCCCATGTTTTCAACTGAAATGTACATTTTGAGGTCCTCGTGAGTCCAAGTAACCTATTCCCACAACAGTTCAGATCAAAAACAAAAAGTTGTATGAAACTAAAATTACATATTTAATGTAGTTAGTTATATCCCTAGGATGTTACTGCAGCTTTTTCTAGAAAATCGCCTAACCACTTTATACCGCCAATTAATCACATTTTTACAATTTTATTGGAAACGACTTTTGATTAAACTCAGTAGATCAATATATAATTAAATGGCCTTTAATATCAGCTAGGTCTTATTCTCATTGATGTCTCTTAACAGAGCTTAAATACTTACTTTTCAAAATTTCTTCCTCTAAAGTACCTTAAATTTGTTTTGTTTTTTAAATAATTAACTGTCCCGTTGTCAGTAGTAGTAAAAAATGTGAAGAAAGAATTTTATAATTGACTAAGGAGGTTGATACATATGCATAATATATCATTGGAAAGCTAAGGATTTTAGGAAAAAAAATATCTAACATATAAAGTCATATAAGGTATTAGACAATGATAAAATATTATGAATAATAATTTCTGCAAACCAATATTATTTAACAGAAACCAAATGACTTCATGGAAATTAAATGAAATTTCGTAACAAAATAAACATTTAAATTTAATTTTGTTTCATCATTTGTAATTGGTGATCTAACCATCTGCTTTTTGGCCTTCCACATGGTTTTTTACCTAATATTGAGGTATTCGTTGTTGTGGAGAGGCTTCCAAATGGATAGCTACTTGCTTCACCCATCTTAACTTCTTAACTTAACCCATCTTAACTTCCTTGCCTTCATATCACAAGATATTGATTGACCAGTTTCTTTTAGTAGCTCTTTGTTGATCTTTCTCTTCCATTTGTTAGTACTCTGATCCCAGATCATCCTGCTTATCATGAGAAGGTTTTTTCTCTCAAATTTCTTCAGTAACCAGCACTACTGTCCAAGTCTCGCAGCTGTATATCAGAACTGACTTTATCATAGCAATGTACTTATCGTACTGTTGAGTGAACATGCACTAACAAGCTACCTAGTGGTAGGTTGCAGAAACACAGATAACCTTCTTAGAACTTAAACTCCCCACACTGCAACTTTGGCACTTGATTGGAACAAGAAATGACATCAGTGACAGGGCCCTGGATACTTAATGTAAGAAATTGCCTTATTCCAACGGAAATGGTGAGTGTCTTAGTTTTTTACATTACATATGCCTTCCCTCTGCCTTTAGTACAATCCATTAAAAAATTACTTTATTAAAAATTACTCTAACAAGTACTTTATTGTCTATAAACAAATTGTTCCACCGAACATGATATTAGTCTATTTTTTCATCATTTATGATATTTGCCGTCTGTGAGGGAGGAAAATAACCTGGCAGGTTAAAGAGAGATTATGCCAAACTTTGCCTGTTTCCCAATTAAAAAAGGTATTTTTATAATTTATTCTTGGTCTTTTGAATTTCTTATGTGTTTTAGATATGTATTTGAAGATGCCAAGGTATTAGAATAATGAATAATGTGTTTGAACATTTTTAGTTGGATTCCAGGAATTTTCAGAAAAAAACACCAAGTGACTTGCTAGAATTAATCCTGGCTTGTTTTGCCTTACTTGCTTGGGATTAATCCTTTGTTAATCCTTGTTTGTTTTGGACTAATTACTTGGAATTAATCCTTTGTTAATCCTAGCTTTTTTGGCCTGATAACTTGGAATTGATCATTTGTTAATCCTTTCATGTTTTGGCTTACTTGCTTGGAATTAATCCTTTGTTAATCTCTACTTGTTTTAAGTAGAAATTAATTAATTAAATTAATTTAATAAAAATTAATTTCAAATTTTTAATTTATTACTTTTTGAGAAATAAATAATTTATAAATAATCAATAAATAATAAATTATTTATTTATTTATTTATTTATTCGTAGGATTCAAACTACAACTACGATAAAGGGTCTTCCTGCTAAAAAGGAAGTTTTTCTTTGCTAGACCCTCAGACATTAAATTCCAAATTGAGGAATTTGATAATCTTAAATCAAATTTCGGTGCTTAATGAATCAGTAAAGAAGGAGGATAGGATTGATATGAATTTATCATCTTTAGCAGCTGAGGAGCTTTATTATGAAATAAAGGTTGCTCATAATACATTAATTAAAGCTGAGCATATCAGAGTTCCCACTTCTCAACACAATATGTCTGATCCTGTTGCGCATCATAAATTGCCCGAATTACAAATTCTACAATTTTTTGGACAATATGCTCAGTTTCCTTCTTTTAAATCATTGTTTGGTGCCCATATTCATGCTAGAAATTACAGTGATGTTAAATTTTCCTACCTCAAATCTCTACTAATACATCCTGCATCCCAGGTCATATCTTCTATTGAATTTAATGCATGTAATTATATTTTAGCCTATGATAAATTAGTGAAACATTATAGCAATGAAAGAATTGTTGCAGCCTACCATCTCCAAAAAATTACTTGGTTTAAATCATTTCTGTTGCGAGTTCTTCCAACTTTCGAGACTTTTTAGACACATTTGAAGATAACTATAATGCCTGATAACTATAAAATCTGAAACTTATTAATCTTACTGGCTTTGTTGTACTGCATCATGGATTGAACAGTGTGGACCCTAATAACAGAAGAATGTTTGAAAATAGTCTTAGTGAAGAGACAGTTCCTATTTTTAAGGAATTTTGTAAATTTTTTAAGTTACAATTTAAGAGTTTTGGAAATTTGTTCTGAGCCTTCTACATCTAAAAATTCAAAGCTAAATTTTATCAAAAAACTTTTTCAACTAGACCGGAAAACCAATTAAATAAAAACTCTAACTTGGAGTACCCAGTGTTTAGTTTAGGTTTGTGGCAAAAAGAGTCACCATACCATGTTACATTATGATAAGAATGCGGCAAACACTGAGCCCTCCCAGTATCGAGTGACAACCCCTGCGGTCTCTGGGGCCACATTGGGCAATTCTCATGCTACTACTAACTCCCAGATACTACTGGGCACAGCCTTGGGTATGATTTCCTCAAGTTCTAGTCAGTGTTATTCCTGTAGAATGGTGATACATCCAGGATCCCAGATTAATTTAATTACTACTGACCTAATGAAAAAGCTAAGCCTTCATTCCCGCGTTAATCCTCTTGTGGTATCTGTCGTTGGTAATACCTCCATTTTTTTATCTTCAACTGAAGTTAGGTTCAGTTAGGAATAACCATACCTATGAATTTGCAGGTAGAGTGCTGCCTTGCATCAGTAGTTGTTTGCTTTCTTTTTCTGTGTCCCAGGAACTACAGAATCGATTCGCTTCACTTGAACTTGCTGACTCTCAATTCTATACAACTGGTAGAGTTGATCCGCTTTTTGGAGCTGAAATGTATGGAGAGGTCTGAAGTGATCGTTTAATTTTTAAAGCAATACATATCTTGCTAGGATGAGAACTATTTGGTAACACTCTCAGATAGCTCTACACCTTCAATATATGCCTTTTTCACTGAGACTAACCTTTCTGTACAGGAGGAATTTTAATGATTTTGGGTGACTGATGAGGTTACAGTTTCAATTCCACAGAACCCGGAAGATTCATTTTGCGATGATCATTTTAAAAATACATGCACTCATGATATCCAGGGTAGATTTTTCATTTCACTTCCTTTTTGTTCTAATCAGTCTGCTAAACTTTCAAGTTCAAGTTCAAGAGATAGCTCTATGCAGACTTAGAAATCTTGAAAATTGATTCATTAAAGATCTGAAATGTAAGTATCCCTATGATGCTTGGTCAGTGAATTATAGGCTTGATCATTTCCACCGCACCAACACCCCTTCTCCTTATGTCATGACCCATTTCATAGTCATTAAAGATTCTACAACTTCCGAACTAAAAGAGTCGTATTTAATGGTTCAGAGAAGATGATGGGAGGGAATTCTGTTATCTGATTGATCTGCTTTTGGCCTGTCCACAGATCCAGTCTGATTTTGCTGAACTTGTAGATGATTTTCATACTTTTCCTGTTGCCTTAACATATGATATCAAAATGATGTTTAGGTGTTTCTGCATTGCTGAGCCTGATCAAAATTTGTTACATTTTTTTAGAGAGGTGAATCTTTGCAGCAGATCCAGAAGTATGAATTGGATATCCTTCCATTGGGATTGAAATGTTCTCCTTTTATTGCTCAGTCATTTTTGTAGTTGTTTCACGAGGTCAAAATAAAGTCAATTTTTTCCTAAAGCTGCCTAATGTCATGACCAAATTTACGTAGGCAACGTAATCATCGAGACAATGGAATGTGGAGAAAGAAAAAAAAAAATGAAAACCAAAAATAAGTAAATAAAATTAGAAGAATAAATATAGAGACGTACAGGTGTAAATAAATAAGTAAATGAAATTAGAAGAATAAAAATAGAGACTTACAGGTGTGTTGAGCTAGGAGTTTCACTTAGAACTGGAAAATCAGGGTAAGAGCAGATATTGGGGAATTTGCTGACTTTTTGGATAATGGGGAAAAACCTAGAAAACTGCAGTATCTAAAATTTGAAGCTATAGATAGATACAAGGAAAAAATATTATATCTATGAAATATTAAATTATAAACTTATACATATACATATAAAATAGAATTAAGAGATTATAGATAAGAGTACAATGTGAATAAAAACAAAAATGGAAGAAGTAAAATGTACATAAAAGTAAAATATGAATATAGAAATAAGAGACCATAGATTGCAGAACTAACTTAGAAGTATAGAGAGGGGAAAAAAATATGAATAATTATAATTATATTTGGTTGTACATATGTAATAAAATTACATTTAAATATTAGATAATATTGAGATATGGTTAAAAAAAAAAAAAAATGAAGGGTCTGGGGTTCAGTACTATTTAGGGAAAGAACTGTTTATAGGTCAACGGTTGTGCAAGGAGGTGTTTTGACCTAGATCACGCTCAACCCGCCAGGTTTTCCCCCTTAATCAATTATTTAATTAAGGGTACCCATTTTATAGAGGCTGGATGTGCCCCAGGAGGGTCTACAGACCCAGAGTCGCCTCACGGCTAATGAAAAGATAAATAAATTTTCTGCCATGAGCCGGGGTTTAAACCTGGGACCTTTGCATTGGAAGTTCAGTGCCCTACCACTGAGCTACCCCACTCCCTAAAGATATGGTTAAAAAGTAAAATGAATACAAAGTGAAAACGGATGATCATACATTGATGTGGAATGTAAATATAAAATTAAAATTAAATAATAAGAAGGATCGGAATACTTAGCGGACAAAGCGGAAATACTTAGAATAATGAACAATTAAATTGAATTAATCAATAAAAATTGAAAGTAGGTAAAAATAATAAGATGTAATGGTACATACAATATACATTATTTTTCACTTATAAGATTTAAAATGTGTCTATATGTTAAAGAAATGCAGTTTTTATCTACTGTATGATTAGCAGGATTCTGTTCCATGTGATTGTAGATGAATTCAGAAATGAGTCTTTTTCATGGTTAGGGATCTTGGCAAGAATAGAGGTTTTTTCAAAATCAAATGAATAGTTGATGGTTAAGGCATGTTCTGATAGTTTAGAGATGGAAGGGTTCCGGGAAGTTATGGATGTTTTATGTTGGGAAATGCTGGTTTTGAAATGGTTTTTGGTTTCGCCAGTACAGGAGCTATTACAATTAGGAGTAGAGCAAGGTATCCGGTAAACTACATTAGATCGGTGTTGTAAAAGTATGGGATCCTTCAAGTTGGTGAAAAGGAAAGAAAGTTTGTTATGGGACTTAAGGCAAAGACGTAAGTTGTTGGAGTTATTACATAAGTTGTTTAAATGAAGTTGTTGGAGAGTGAAATTTCTAATTCAGTTGCTTTTTCTTATATTTGGAGTACTGGGAATTGATGTTATAAAATGAACTATATTTTCATAATTTTGAATAATATCTATTTTATCTAAATCTCAGGTGTTTTATTCGTGTTGATCTAACCCTTACTATAGTCCACAAGGTTTGAGCAAAATGGGGACTAGTGGTTTTTAAAAAGCAATTTCATATATAAAAAACAATTTCATGCTATAATAATAGTATATTTTTCAGTTAGAGTAGATAAAACTGTATTTCATTATATTGGTTTATTCATTTTGTAGCTGATCTCTTTATATGTTTGTTCATTTTGATTCTTAAATACTATGGTTAAAAACAGTAATCTTGGTTGGTTATTGGATTAGAATATACCTAAAATGAAATTGTAATCATCCAATCACTTTTTTTACTTTCATTTATTTTGTCTACTGATTATTTTATCACGTTTATTAATCTTCTTTTAAATATTAATAGAATGTTGCAATGTCAAAACTTTTCTCTTTATAAAAAAAGAAACTTTATTCTTAAATTATATGTTTTAATACTTAAGTTAAAAATTACAGACTATGTTATATATATGCTTTAAAAAAGAATGATTTTGAGACTCAATATTTAATTTATGCTGATTGATAATATGCATAATTTTTGTAGTGATAATTATACATTTTCTGAAAACCAGTCTTCATACCAAATGGGAGGAGATCAGCAATCCTACTCTCATTCTGGAAGCTATCAGAACTTTAATTCACCAGAGTTCAAAGATGAAAAAGAAGCATTTTTTGCAAGAAAGCAGGTGGAGAATTCTTCAAGACCAAAGTATGTAAAGTAAAATTTGAAACTAAGCTCAATGTTATTATGTTATCATGATTCCAATTTTGTTCTCTTTGTTTTCAGTGATCTTCCTCCTAGCCAAGGAGGAAAATACTCTGGTTTTGGTTATACTATGGATCCACCACCTCGTAGTACATCACAAGAACTTTTTGACTCAGCAGTCACTTCTCTTAGTACTTTTGGACAATCGGTAAGGATAAAAATATATTTTTCTGTTCTGTTTTAGCACTATAAACCTGCCTTTAAAATTTCAATCAGACAATCATGGATAACTTTCTATGTCTTTTATTTGGAATTTTAGTCAGTAATATGAAGTGACTAAAAAAAAAAAGATCATTTTATGTTCTCCAGTTACTCATTTTATGTTAATTCCGACTAATGAATAAAAAATTAGTTATTATTTTTTTGTAAATCATCAATGATTTTTGTGAATCATCAATTGTATAATTTTTGCCTAACTCTACGTGGCAGCAGATAATCGAAGCCTACTTAGAATTAGGAAGTTCACTAAGAATGGTTATTCTGAAATCTTTCATTGCTGCATAACAATTAATTACTGATTAAATGTGCATAAAAATTAGTTTAAAATAATTAATATGCATTAAACACTGATTTAATTACTTTAATACTAGATTTTGAGTAGCTCATTCTTACAAGGCCTCCTTTTCTTTTTCCTGCTTTTGTGCAGAGGGTTATTGAATCAACTCAGGATCTCATGCCCTCTTTATTTTTTTCTCTTCATACACCCATTCGTATACCCATTCTCTCTCTCTCTCTCTCCCTTTCCCTCCCACCCTCTCTCCCTCTTCCCCTTTTCCCTCCCCTCCTCCACCTGTGCTGGTGGATGGTGCTGAGACTGTCGGTGTGTCCCTAGCCTGAGGTATCGAGACATTATTTTATAATTTGAAATAATTGCTATTAGAAACATGGAAGAATAAGTGTTTACCGATTGAGCTATTTGTTGTTCTAGCTTTGAAGAGGATCCCATTGTTAACTTGTAAAAAACCGGGATCGAAACGTCAAACAAACACAGAAGCAATGAACATTTAGTAATTTATTGAATTATTAATAAGTGACCTTATTCCCAGTTAAATAATTATGTTAAAATTTAATACTCAATGGTCAATTAAAGAAAAGTTGTAAAAAAAAAAAAAAATATATATATATATATATATATATATATATACAGGTTTTATTTAACAGTTTTAATTTTCTTTTATTTATTAGAGACTTGTTGTTCATTTATCAGAGGAATTTATTTTGTATTTACTGCTTTGTTTATTCTATCTTTTTTATTTCTTTATCATTTTAGCTTAGCAGCGATTATTTTGTTTCATTTCTTATTTCTATTGTATATACTTTTAATATTATATAAATAGTCTCATTAGTTTGTTTTTGTATGTATAGTTTGTTTACTTAAGGTTTTTTATTTATCTATTTATTTAATGTAACAGTTTTTCTGGTCAGATGTTATTCTTTTTTTTTCTGTAGGGCTCTGTTATTCTTAGAGGACTTCGTCCCAGAATAAAGTTATTTTTCTATCTATCTATATATTAACCTCAGTGATTTAGAAATTTTTATCCTGTCTTCATTTTTTCACTAACAATGGTTTAAATTTTAATGTTTTATTGGTTTAAATCTAGGGATGGTCTCTATTTTCTAAATCAGCTGTAAAAATAGCAAGTAAAACAACAGAAAGTGCTATGAAGATTGGGAGCATCGCAACACAAAAGGTAGCAGAAATAGGTGGTACAGTATCGGATAAGGTATTTGGATGCAGTTTATATATTTATTTTATTTTTTATGTTTGTTTCTACTTTATTTATTTATCATTATTAAAAGGGAATTGAGTTCACTACATAGCATTTTTCAAGGAAATATTCCAGAAAGTTTGAAATTAATTAATGATTTATTTTTTTTTATCATTGGAATTTTCTGTACAGCCAGTTATATAATCATGTAGTTGTATTCCTATTCTTTATTATTTCCAATTTAAATATATTTATTTATTAAATATGAGTATTGCATGTCATTGACTATTTCCTCAGGATTGTTGGATTTTAATTGTTTTTACTTTCACTTACCAATGTATGTAATATATAGTAAGAATAAGTATTGTGATCGTGAAAATTTTTGAGTCTGAGTTTTCAACAGAAATGTATGCTTTGAGGTACCCTGAGTCCAAATAACCAAATTCCAAAAAAAATGGTCTGTGTGTCTTTGTGTATATGAACACTTTTTTTTAAATAAATAAAAAAAACATAGAGAGAAACTGAATGAAATTGAAATATATAAAAAACATTCACATCTTTATACAATATTTACATTCGCCTAGGGAATTCCGATTCATGCTTTGTCCCCCAAATATCGAAGTCGAGGCAGGACCACAGGAGATTCCTGTGCTTTTCTCCCAGCCACGTCACTGGTATTGCAAGCCAGTGGAGACTGATATAGGGTACTAGAGCAACAGACGCTCAGGACTTGAGTGGAGAATCTGCCCATTGCCAGTACTCCAATATATACATATTTACAAAAGGTCGCGGGGCCACTACCTTTACTTTAGACTGAAAGGATTGAATGCGCTTAATGTTGGAAGGTTTTGTTGACGTCCGTAGGTCCAGATTTTAGTAGATAGCCCCCAGTATTTACTCTTTCATGTGACATTGTGTGAGTGAATGAGAAGGAATATATAATATTCAGGAATGTGAGGTTGCACGATGAATTGTACTCAATTATGCAGTGGACAAATTATTCATGGAAATATCTCATATCGATAAACAATCGATGAAGAAGGACGCTGGAAAAAGGTCAGAGCAGGTAGCTAGCAACAGCTGGCAGAAGGACGCTGAGAAGGACACGGAGGCGAGAGGAACTAGGCCTGGACAGGAAGAAAGGAGGTTGTCAGAAGAGAGAGATACTACATTGAAGACTAAGAAATCAAGCCTACAGTTATAAGACTTTTATGTATTAATTTATTACAGTTGTAAAATAAATTGTTTTATTATACAGGAATGAAAAGTCATTTATTTATTTAGTTGTCCTGTATGCCTCACAATTGAAGAATAACAAAATAAGTGAGTCAATTCATTCAAAGTGTGTTTACTAAGTCCCACATCATATATATATTCTTATTGTTTCTTCTCACTCAATGTCACAAAAGGTATTAGATTCCTGAATTCCCAACAACAGTTAAACACCCTAAAAAAAGTCTATATCCAGTGCTGGGGTTTTGTTTTAATAATCATGAGTGTAAATAACCTAGTTCCCCGATAAAAGTGGAAGGCTATTCGCCAATTCCTGCCAAAACATATTTTACATTTAACTTTATTAGGTTATTTACAATGAATTGACTCACCTGTTTTGTTATTCTTCAATCGTGAGGCATACAGGACAACTAAATAAATAAATGACTTTTCACTTCTGTATAATAAAACAATTTATTTTATAACTGTAATAAATGAATGTATAAAAGTCTTATAACTGTAGGCTTGATTTCTTAGTCTTCAATGTATCTCTCTCTTCTGACATCCTCCTTTCTTCCTGTCTAGGCCTAGCGTCCTCTCGCCTCCGTGTCCTAGGCTCAAGTGCCCTTCTCGGCGTCCTTCTGCCAGCTGTTGCTAGCTACCTGCTCTGACCTATTTCCAGCGTCCTTCTTCATCGATTGTTTATCGATATGAGATATTTCCATGAATAATTTGTCCACTGCATAATTGAGTACAATTCATCGTGCAACCTCATATTCCTATATATTATATATTCCTTCTCATTCCCTCACACAATGTCACATGAAGGAGTACATACTAGGGGCTATCTACTACAAGATAGGTTTCAGGATTGTCTTGTAGATTAGTAGTTTGTTATCGACTGAAAGTTGAGATTTTCTATTCATTAGTCTATATAGTTGTCCATATCGTCTGTTTAGTTGTTGTCTTTTAAGTCTGATATTTGGGTTCCACGTTAGTCTTTTATCTAGAAGAAAGTCAAGATATCGGACTGTGTCTGAGAGAGGAAGTGGTATGAATTTGAAATAGACTGGTGGACAGGACTTGTGCCTAAGGGTAAAAGTGATGTGTTTGGATTTTGATTCATTTACTTGGATGCACCTTTCACTTATTACACCAATGTTCAATAAGAGAACATTGTCTTTGTAGGTTTGAGGATGCTGTTTTAGGATCTGGATTGGAAGATAGGATGGCTGTGTCATCAGCGAATGTTGCCAGGAGGGTTTCAGGATGAGTAGGAATATCAGCGGTAAACAGAATGTAGAGGATGGGACCCAAGACACTGCCTTGAGGAACTCCCACCTCAATTGAATGGCAGTTGGAGAATTCTGTACCACAACGAACTCGAAAGGAGCCGTCAGAGAGGTAGAATCGGAGTATTAGACTGGGGTAGGTAGGTGGGTTTTGAGCTTGAAGAATAGTCCGGTGTGCCATACGCGGTCGAAAGCTTGCTCAATGTCCAGGAATGCTCCCGAGCAATACTCTTTGCTTTCTAAGGCTGAGGATATGTGGTCAACAATTCAGAGTCCTTGTTAAACGGTGGAATGCTGGAAACGAAATCCGAATTGATGGGTAGGATTCTTTTTAATAGAATTTTTTCAAATATTTTTGAAAGGATTGGGAGTAGGCTGATTGGTCTGTAGGATGATGTGTTATTGGAAGGTTTGGCTGGTTTCAGGAAAAGGACGATGTTTGAATGTTTCCATAAGAGAGAAAAATGGGTAGTTCTTGGGATGCAGTTGTATATATATGTGAGGAACATGATCGCTTTGAGTGGTAGTTGATGAAGGATCTGTGGGGTTAGAAGGTCGTATCCAGGAGATTTGCGGGAAGATAATTTTTGTAAATCATATTTGTCCTCAAAAGGATGAACTGCTTTTGGTGGTAGGGAAAGTGGAATTGATGAAGAGAGGAATTTTTCTATTTTTGCAGTATGGATGGAATGGGATTCAGGATGAGGAGTAAATGTACAGGAGAGGTGTTGGCGAATTCCTCAGCTTTGTCTTCATCAGATGCCGCCAAGGAGACATCGACTCAACGGAGGGTATGGGAAATATTTTGGGATTTTAGAATTTTTTTTTGGTGATATTCTAGAGGGAATTGTCATGAGCTGAGAGGGAGGTGAGATAAGAGTTAAAGGATTGAGATTTGAAGTTGGATAATTCTTGCTTTAGATTAATAATTGTAGGAACGGCGATCTGTGGGATGTCTGGAGCATTGCCATAACACTCTGGTACGGCGTTTGGTTTGGATTAACTCAAGGATGTGTTGAGGTAACTTATTTTTCTTAGGAATTCCTGGAGAATGATTAGGAGAGGAAGCAGTCCAGACTGCTTATTAAATGGTGGTGGTAAAGGAGTGTACGGCATTATCAAGGTCTTCTGCGGTTTTCAGTGTTATTCTGAGGTAAATTTGTTCGGAAAGGATTTGATGGAAGAGTTTCCAGTTGACTGGACCTCTGATAAAGGACGTTGGAGAGGGTTTAGGAATAGGAGCTAGTGATACTAAGGATATTAACGAACTGTGGTCTGAGGAAAGTTCATCGAGGAGTGCAATGGAATAGTTGAGGGAACCTAAACCACTGTGGATGAAGAAATCAAGGATATCGGGATTGCGGTTAGGATCAGTGGGCCGGTAGGTAGGTGAGGTCGGGGGAACGAGTTTAAAACGTTGGGAATTCAGTGCAGACAGCAGTGAATGAACACTCTAGCTCAAAAACGTCGTTTGAAAGTGATATTATGTATTTAAGATAGATATATGCCTTAGATGTCCTAGCAACTTTTTCCTTAAAGTCGGCTAACCGAAAGTGCCACTTTTTATCAACGGTGAAACACATTTTTACAATTTTCTCAAAAATAGCTCCAACGATTTTGATTAGACTCGGTGTATGACTGTATAATTAAGTTGTCTTTAATATCATTTAGGTCTTATTCCCGTTGATGTCACTTTACAGGGATTAAATGCCCAATGTTCATATACGTCTTCCTATAAAATACCTTTGATATATTTCATTTCAATAAATTAACTATCTCTCATTATTAAAAGTTAAGAAAAAATGCTAAATATAACTTTTGAAATAATTTGATAATTGAATAAAGGAGAAAAAAATAAAAGTGCTTATTCAGGTCAAAAATGAATCTCCAAAAATACTAGTCAGAAGGTATATGCATCATATATCGTTGGAAAGTGGAGAATTCAGAAAAAACAATATCTAATATAGAAAGTTGTAGAAGGTAAGGGAGAGTGGCAAACAAATTTTAAATAATAATTTTTGAAAACTAATATTATTTAAAGTTAATCACATTTTTTCAAGGAAATTAAATGAAATTTACTAAACTTTAAAAAATATTTTTAAATTTGTAAAAAGTATTTAAAATCCACCTAAACAAGGCAATAGCATTGTTAAAAAAACTGTTTCATTGTACTTGTGTTGTTAAGCTCCCTCTTAATTTAGGTCAAACTTCGAACGAAGCCTAACTATTATTTAAATTGAGTTAATTGTGATTTAACAAAAAAAAAAAAAAGTGGACTGTATTTTGAAACATTTACGTCAATTAATAATGAAAATATAAAAATAAAAATCAATTTTACACTTGTCAAATAGAAAAAAATAAATAACAACTTCTAGAATGAAATAAAGATAAGCTGAGTTATGCCAAAAAAACAATTATGAAATATTCAACAAAATATTTCTATGCTTGATCATGGTAATCAAATAAAATACTATGTATATGGCTCAAAATTACAGTCAAAATAGAAACAAT